GACGTGGAGACCAGCATGCAGCTCTGGCCAGTGACCATTGGGACTGACTGCTTCTGGCAGGAAGTTCTGGGGTGAGATGGGAGGGGCAGAGGTGGGGATCTGGGCCAGAGGAGCAGAGGTGGCAAGGGGGTGGGGGTGGGGTGGGCTGGATGCCGGGGTGTTCTTTAGCCTTGGGTCTGCTCCCTCGCCCGCTAGAGGCCCTGGCAGGATGCCCACCTGAGCTCGAACTCGGCGAACAGGACGTCAAAGTGGCGCAGCGCCTCCCGCATCTTCTCGGTGTAGGCGCTGAGGTCACGCAGCGCCTGGTCGCGCAGGGTGCTCCGCACGTCCTCTAGGCTGCGGGTCAGCTCTTTGGCCAGCGGCCGCATGGCCATGCTCTCCAGCTCCCGGTTCATGATGATGGAGCCAGCGGCCAGGCACTGCGGGGGGATGGGGGAGTTGGAGGGGGCATGTCAGAGGCAGGTGACAGAGCCCAGGTCCCTGCGGGGAGCCATGTCCACCTGCTCAGGCCAGGCGTCCTCTCTCAGCTCCCCACAGCCGACCAGTGCCCTGGGGCTCCGCTCTACAGAGGGGAAACTGAGGCTTAATGGAGTAGGCACCCACAAACAACCAGGACAGCGGTGGGGGAACCCCAGGCGTGCAGAGGAATGGGGTACACCCCTCGGGTGAGGAGCGGGAAGATACCCTCACAGCCCAACCACGCTCCCCTTCACCACCAAGTTCGCCAAGGGGAGGAGCCTCGGAGGACTGGCTCCGCCCCTGGGGCAGGGTGCTCGCTAATGGAGATGGAGCTGAAGATATACATGGGGATCACTGTGAGATAACCTGGGGTGGGCACGGCGCACCCTGGTGTCCCCGCATGGGCATGAACTCCCTGTGGTCAAGGCTGCGGGGGAGGGCAAGCGGCCACTGCCCACTGTGGATCTCCTGCTGCGGAGAACCGCTTCCGCAGATGCCGGATAGGCCAAGTCCTGTGCTAACAAGGCCCCGTGCCATTCAGCCGCTACCAGTCGGCGATTTGAACCACCCAGCAGGTGAAGGACCTGGTGATCCACTCCCGCAAAGGCTTGTTGTTCTGAGGGGCCCACCAGTCATCCCTGATGGAAAGCCATTCTATTTGCAGCTGAAGGAAACACCTCCCTGCGTTTGAGCCCACGGTTGCGGCCACTGCCAGTCCATCTCTTTGGTGTCCCCTACTTTACCACGATAGCTGCTGCCTCACTTCAGGAACTGGTCTCTCCTGGCAATATGTCTAAAGTACATAAGACCAAGTCTCGCCATCCTTGCTTCTAAGGAGCACACAGCCTGGAAAGCGCTCAGGGGCCCTTCTGATCTCTCACGTGGGGTTAACAGGAGTTAGAAATCCACCGGGCGGTGCCCACCAACAAGCACTTCCCTCTCCAGCAGAAGGCTGGCCGCTCCAGTCTACCCAGACCCAGGAAAACCAAGCCAAACTCACTGCCAGCGAGTCGAAGCAGCGACCGGGTGCAGGGCAGCCAGCACAGCCCTATGGGACGGACAGAACTGTCCCTGGGGCTTCCGA